TACACCAATAGACCAGACATTGTACATTCTATACACCCACAGACCAAACACAGTACATTCTGTACACCCACAGACTAGACATTGTACATTCTGTACACCCACAGACCAAACACTGTACATTCTGTACACTCACAGACCAGACAGTACATTCTGTACACCCACAGACCAGACATTGTACATTCTGTACACCCACAGACCAGACATTGTACATTCTGTACACCAATAGAACAGACGTTGTACATTCTGTACACCTAGAGACCAGACATTGTGCATTCTGTACTCCCACAGACCAGACATTGTACATTCTGTACACCCACAAACCAAACATTGTACATTCTGTACACCCACAGACCAGACGTTGAACATTCTGTACACCCACAGACCAGACATTGTACATTCTGTACACCCACAGACCAGACATTGTACACACTGTAGACCTACAGACCAGACATTGTACATTCTGTACACACAGACAAGACGTTGTACATTCTGTACACCCACAGACCAGACATTGTACATTCTGTCCACCCACAGACCAGACGTTGTACATTCTGTACACACAGACCAAACGTTGTACATTATGTACACACACAGACCAGACGTTGTACATTATGTACACCCACAGACCAGACACTGTACATTCTGTACACCCACAGACCAGATGTTGTACATTCTGTACACCCACAGACCAGACATTGTACATTCTGTACACCCACAGACCAAACGTTGTACATTCTGTACACACACAGACCAAACGTTGTACATTATGTACACACACAGACCAGACGTTGTACATTATGTACTCCCACAGACCAGACGTTGTACATTCTGTACATCCACAGACCAGACGTTGTACATTCTGTAAACTCACAGACCAGACGTTGTACATTCTGTACATCCACAAACCAGACATTGTACATTCTGTACACCCACAGACCAGACATTGTACATTCTGTACACCCACAGACCAGGCATTGTACATACTGTACACGCAGACCAGACGTTGCACATTATGTACACCCACAGACCAGACATGTTACATACTGTACACACACAGACCAAACATTGTACATTCTGTACACCCACAGACCAGACATTGTGCATTCTGTACACCAACTTACCAGACATTGTACATACTGTACACCAACAGACCAGACATTGTACATTCTGTACACCCACAGACCAGACATTGTACATACTGTACATCCACAGACCAGACATTGTGCATTCTGTACACCAACTTACCAGACATTGTACATACTGTACACCAACAGACTAGACATTGTACATGCTGTACATCCACAGACCAGATGTTGTACACTCTGTAGACCCACAGACCAGACTTTGTACATTTTGTACATCCACAGACCAGACGTTGTACATTCTGTACACTCACAGACCAGAATTTGTACATTTTGTACACCCACTGACCAGACGTTGTACATTCTGTACACCCACAGACCAGACGTTGTACACTGTAGACCCACAGACCAGACATTGTACATTCTGTACACCCACTGACAAGACGTACATTCTGTACACCCTCAGACCAGACATTGTACATTCTGTACACCCATAGACCAGACATTGTACATTCTGTACACCCACAGACCAGGCATTGTACATTCTGTACATACACAGACCAGACATTGTACATTCTGTACACACATAGATCAGACATTGTACATTCTGTACACCCACAGACCAGACAATGTACATTCTGTACATACACAAACCAGACATTGTACATTCTGTACACACATAGACCAGACATTGTACACTCTGTACACCCACAGACCAGACGTTGTACATTCTGTACACTCAGACCAGACGTTGTACATTATGTACACCTATAGACCAGATATTGTGCATTCTGTACACCAACTTACCAGACATTGTACCTACTGTACATCAACAGACCAGATATTGTACATTCTGTACACCAACTTACCATTGTACATACTGTACACCAACAGACGAGACATTGTACATTCTGTACACCCACAGACCAGACGTTGTACCTTCTGTACACCCACAGACCAGACATTGTACATTCTGTAGACCCATAGACCAGACATTGTACATTCTGTACACCCACAGACCAGACATTGTACATTCTGTACACCCACAGACCAGACATTGTACATTCTGTACACCCACAGACCAGACATTGTACATTCTGTACACCATCAGACCAGACATTGTACATTCTGTACACCCTCAGACCAGACATTGTACATTCTGAACACCCACAGACCAGACATTGTACATTCTGTACACCCACAGACCTGACACTGTACATTATATGCACCCACAGACCAGACACTGTACATTCTGTACACCCACAGACCAGACATTGTACATTCTGTACACCCACAGACCAGATACTGTACACCCACAGACCAGACATTGTACATTCTGTACACCCACAGACCATATACTGTACACCCACAGACCAGACACTGTACACCCACAGACCAGACACTGTACATTCTGTACACTCACAGACCAGAATTTGTACATTTTGTACACCCACAGACCAAACATTGTACATTCTGTACACCCACAGACCAGATACTGTACACCCACAGACCAGACATTGTACATTCTGTACACCCACAGACCAGATACTGTACACCCACAGACCAGACATTGTACACTCTATACACCCACAGACCAGACGTTGTACATTCTGTACACCCACAGACCAGACATTGTACATTCTGTACACCCACAGACCAGATACTGTACACCCACAGACCAGATACTGTACACCCACATACCAGATACTGTACACCCACAGACCAGATACTGTACACCCACAGACCAGATACTGTACACCCACAGACCAGATACTGTACACCCACAGACCAGATACTGTACACCCACAGACCAGACATTGTACACCCACAGACCAGACATTGTACACCCACAGACCAGACATTGTACACCCACAGACCAGACATTGTACACCCACAGACCAGACATTGTAAGATAACATAGTGACCAACAATACTGGTCATTATTAATATGACGTGATAACGTCACTGCACGAATCTTGCGATATCTGGCAACTCGTGTGACGCAGAGTTGCCAATTGTGAAAATCACGCCGCTATAATCACGTCAAAGTGGCAAGTTGGTCAAATGAAGTGTCCGGTCACTATTGGTCACCATCTGGACAATATTACCTGCCCCGTCCTGGCCACCTAACCCACCAGCTGGGCCAGGGTATAAGACCAGCTGTCATATGATATACAAGATCGTCATTTGGCCCATTCTGAGAAATTATCAAATCCACTGAAAGATACTATCTAACTAGCCTTATTTCACCATCTAACTAGCCTTATTTCACCATCTAAGCAGCCTTATTTCACCATCTAACTAGCCTTATTTCACCATCTAAGCAGCCTTATTTCACCATCTAAGCAGCCTTATTTCACCATCTAACTAGCATTATTTCACCATCTAAACAGCCTTATTTCACCATCTAACAAGCCTTATTTCACCATCTAAACAGCCCTATTTCACCATCTAAACAGCCTCATTTCACCATCTAAACAGCCTTATTTCACCATCTAAACAGCCTCATTTCACCATCTAAACAGCCTTATTTCACCATCTAACCAGCCTTATTTCACCATCTAACCAGCCTCATTTCACCATCTAACCAGCCTTATTTCACCATCTAAACAGCCTTATTTCACCATCTAACCAGCCTTATTTCACCATCTAAACAGCCTCATTTCACCATCTAAACAGCCTCATTTCACCAGCTGGCTAAAATTTGGTTCTAGAAAAGTTATTCACATATACATTGGTGAACGTCAGGTCGTGTTATCATGTGATATCTCACGTTCCGTCACCACGAGTCCTCTGATAACACCACAACACCAAGCGACGTCACACTGAAGTCAGGCGTCGTGACGCCTGAAGAAGCAGGAGGTGGCGCCACTACAGGACGCCACCTGGTTGCTTCAGGCAGCCGACTGACACGCGGGGAGAGCCACCACCGCGCCATGTGCCGCTGTAATCCACCAAACAGCTGAGCAAAGAGTGCTCAAGCAGCAGCGTGGGTGGAACAGCTGCTAGGCTGCACGATGTCCCAGCGCATGCAAGCACCACTGTTGCGAAACTGACAGCAGCTGGGGTCCTGGGACTTAGAGACCCCAGGCGTTATCAAGCGCCAAGCATTGCTAGCAAAACCCCCTCCCCCCCCTAGTGCTTGCAACTGACCGTTACAACATCTCCACGCCCATAGGCCTGACTAACCCACCTGTTTCCTGATTGGTTGCCAGTCGTAGGCTTACAATAGATACAATATTACTCATTACCCCTGATATAGGCTCAACGGTGCAATATCCCACTATTCTTTGCTCCGGCTGGCGTACGGAAGGGTCATACTGCCGAAGGAAGCAGAGGCCATTAAGATGAAGAAGGCGGTCAATATATTTGGTAAGAAGGTTGTGATAGCGGGGTTGGCGGTGGGCGGAGCCAATGGGCGGCTGCGCAGCTTGACTCCGCCCACTCGCCGTGGCGGTTAACGAGCTCTCTCCCTCAGCCAATCAGCGTTACCCGATACTCGGCCTATCCCGTACGGCCTATCGGCCTTTTTTTTTTTTTTGGACGCTGGACGTTATTACTTTGGGTGAAATGAGGCTGAAAACTGAAGTAGATGCTTGCAAGTTGCAATTCTAATTACTTCTTGCGTTGAGCAGGCAAACAGTTTGACCGGCGGGAAGTTTGAAATGAATAAAAGATGATTGTGAGTGGTCAGCGAGCGGTGAGGCCAGCAGCTGGTCAGCAGGTAAACTGCAGGCGGGTCTGGTAATGCACTTAGAGCTGCACTACACTCCCAACAGCCTTTACACGGCTTTGATCCCCCTCGCTCTTTGCAAGTGACCGTTAAGCGCGGCCTTTCCCCACGTATTATGATGCAAACTAGGCCATGCATTGTGCCTGCATGCCACGGCAGGGCGCAGCCTGTGGGCCAGTGTCCAGTGCGGTGACGTCTCGGGTGGACAGTGCCTCCGTCACGTGCCTCCTGCTGCCATCCCGGCTGCCTACTACAGCGCCGCTGCCATCCGTGGCTTGCCGTGGCGGCGTCTTGAGGCGCTGCTGGAGCTGCCAGCCGCGCCGCCCAGCCACGACGCCGCCCGCCTCCTTAGTTACCTCCTCCTCCTGCTCCTCGGCCTCCTCGGCGTCTCCCCAGCACCCGCGCGCCCCCGCTCGGCCGCCAGTGGGCAGGCCCAGCACGCTGGCCGAGATGAGTGCGCTGGAAAACACGGGCGGCTGCGTCTTGAGGAGAAAAGGCCGGCCCCTTGCTCACTGGAAAACAGGAAATGATCCACCTTGCTGCGTCGTCGGCCCAAAACTTGCGCCTTTTTGGCGCTGGCCGGCCCAAGAGTCGGCACTCGTCGAGACGGGCCTAAACTCCCCAGTCGCTTCGATCGCTCGGCCAGCTCAGCTCGCGGCCTCAGTCTAGCTAGTGTGGCGACGCGTGCAGTCTTGTGTAGGAGCGCCACCTCGGCCGCCGCCTCAGCCCCCGGCACCCGCCATGAGCCCCACTTGACCCGCTCGCGGCCAACGGTACTGACCTAACCTCTCGCAACTTGCTGACCTCTATACTCAGCGCCTCACCTCGCCGCCCGTTACCGGGCCATTTCTTCCGGATAGTTGGTGACCTGTCAAGCCTTCACGCTGGCTAACAACGGGTGTGACCTTCCACCCACCACACTGGCGCCCCCTGACCGCATACCCTCGCCTGACCTGTCAACACCCATGCCGGCAACAGCCGATCCGGACGAACCGCCAGCCAGGACGATGGATTCCCCGGTGTATCCGGCTCCATCTTTAGGACCTGCTTCCCCATACCCCCCACGGACTCTAGCCTCCCCCTCCTTCACAGGCAGACCAATGGAGTCCCCCATATTCCCCCCGCGGACTTCAGACTCTTCCCTACTGACAGCTAAGCTGGAGGCGCCACCGTCACCCCCGGCTTACCCACAGAGGAATATGGACATGCCTTATGGCCAACGACCTCTTCCAGAGCATCCTATGGGATACTCAAACTACTCAACAGGATCGTTCCCACCGTCTTCCGGCCCTTACGGGCCCCCTCCAGTGTCGTTCGCCTCGCTACCTCCTTCCTTCACGTCCTCGTCGCTCGCCCCCTCGCTCTCCTCTACCCCAGGATTCCCCCCATCAGGAGCCACTGCATCTCCGCCTCTAGAAGCTTTTGTACAGTTGCTTCTTGCAATGAACGTCGAAGATCAACTGAAGGTAGGTTGTGAAAAGTGTCTTCTGTGATCAGTATGTGATAAGCTAATGAGATAATTATGCAAAAAAATGCCCAATTGATGCTTCAGTGTTCAAACGAGTGAAATGCGACAAGGAGCATTTTTTGCGAGTACTCAGTGTTCGAAGACAACAACACTGTGAGTGGAAATGTGACAGTTTAATCTAAATGCAAAGGAAGAAGTAAGAACACTTTGTGATAAAGTGGAGATGAATGGTGAGTGAAAGTGATGGCTAAGTGGTGGTGATGTGCCCGGCACGTGTAGCAACCCTCGCCCCACCCGTCAACCAGCGCGCCAATTTTTAAACTTGGCGCGTATTCTTCCCCTGGACCCAAGAGTGAATAGTGAGAGAGAGAAATTGCCGCAACTTTTTCTCTCATTTTTTTCTTTACACCTTGTTTGCTAGGCTTGACTGCCTTATTAATATAGTTTTCTTAGTGCAGTTTTCATGATCTTTTTTTTGCAAGTGACCTGAATTGTAACCTTTGTGTTGTATGATGAAAAATACTTTTAACATGTTTTGTATATAATGACAGCCAGTAATTGAAATATATATAATTGCATATACGGTTATATAGATCTTGTTGAAACTAGAGGTTTGTGTTGACCATGCCAGGAATACTGCTGTAACTGTTACTGAAAAGCGACTCTGGTATTATACAACAGTGAAGGATCACAACAGATTATAGTATGTTTTTACAACATTTAATACACAAATACAGGTACCAAAAAAAAAAAAAAGGTAATCGCAGTAAACCTTGCCCTTGTAGCTCTCATGCCGTCATAGACCCTTGTGTACGGCCTCATTTGCATATGAAATCTTAGAGTTTTTCTCCCCTTCTCATTCAACAGTGAGCTGTGCAAGGACTCGAACCCCGTTCAACAAGGAGATTGAGCCTTTGGTTTAAACACATGTGGCCAAAATAGGACAGAGGCAAGAATTTCCCCTCATTGACAATCCAACCATTAACCTTTAGCCATTACTGACAACCAAGTACTACTGGAGCCGCTACCATTAACCATTTCCGCGACCCTACCATTGTCTGACTCAGGCTACCATACAGTCCGTCCTGTTCAATGAGGGTCCATACGTCACTGTCAAAGGGTCGTGTCGTAGGACGACTGTTTGTGGACGTAGAGTCATAGTCCGGTTTGGACCCTCTTTTTATCTGTCTCTCTCTCTAATGTATCGGGATTAGTGTTCGTTTAACTGAATATCATTAAACGAGATTTGGGTTACCGAACTGACTCAGGAGTTTCTACGTAAGGATGACTGTTGACATCCTTCAGGTGGATGACTGTTGACATCCTTCAGGTGGATGACTGTTGACATCCTTCAGGTGGATGACTGTTGACATCCTTCAGGTGGATGACTGTTGACATCCTTCAGGTGGATGACTGTTGACATCCTTCATCTGGATGAGTTGACATCCTTCAGGTGGATGACTGTTGACATCCTTCAGGTGGATGACTGTTGACATCCTTCAGGTGGATGACTGTTGACATCCTTCAGGTGGATGACTGTGGACATCCTTCACGTGGATGACTGTGGACATCCTTCAGGTGGATGACTGTGGACATCTTCCACGTGGATGACTGGTGACATCCTTCATCTGGATGAGTGTTTACATCCTTCACGTGGATGAGTTGACATCCTTCAATACATTATGATTGCTCTCAACTTATTCATAATCTGCTTTGATGTTGTTTGCAAATCTTTTTCAATATATTTTTTTCTCATCATTCGTACACTGCTTCTTTGACAAGTCAGTAAAGTTACTTTACATGTTGATTATAAGTACACATATATATATATATATATATATATATATATATATATATATATATATATATATATATATATATATATATATATATATATATATATATATATATATATATATATATATATATATATATATATATTATTCACGTGTTCCACAACCATTCACGAGTTCCATATATTTCATAACCCTTTACTCTGGTCTCGGTTCATATTTCCCCTAGGTTTTATTTTCATGTTTTTCTTGGTTTTATTTAATCTGAGTTCATTATATTTCCTCTTCATCATCTCCCCCCCCCCCCCCTGGTTATCGTCATCATCATATCGGTATCATGATGGCTCCTCATTATCTCTGTCACTTTCATTGTCATAACTCGAGTTATATGATGTTCTTACTACCTTTCTCACTGTCATTTTCATCTGTCTTTCTTTGCTATTTTATCTGTCATCATCACTGTCATTTTCATTCATTTATCTGTCATTATCAGTCATGTTCAGTTATCCTCATTTTCTATATCTCTCAACGCCCGTGAATCTTTATCTTGTCTTTGATATCTGTTCTATATTTTGTGCAGTTTCTTTATCTTCTTCATCTAGGTTTTCTTAGACATTTTCTTGTGTGTTATCTTAGACTGCTTCTTGAGATCCTCCTTCTCATTCTTTAATTAGTATCTATATCTATCAGCAAGGCTCTTGTATCTATATCTGTCAGCCAGGCTGTAGTATCTATCTGTCAGCCAGGCTGTAGTATCTATATCTGTCAGCCAGGCTGTAGTATCTATATCTGTCAGCCAGGCTGTAGTATCTATATCTGTCAGCCAGGCTGTAGTATCTATATCTGTCAGCCAGGCTGTAGTATCTATATCTGTCAGCCAAGCTGTAGTATCTATATCTGTCAGCCAGGCTGTAGTATCTATATCTGTCAGCCAGGCTGTAGTATCTATATCTGTCAGCCAGGCTGAAGTATCTATATCTGTCAGCCAGGCTGTTGTATCTATATCTGTCAGCCAGGCTGTAGTATCTTATATCTGTCAGTCAGGCTGTAGTATCTATATCTGTCAGCCAGGCTCTTGTATCTATATCTGTCAGCCAGGCTGTAGTATCTATATCTGTCAGCCAGGCTGTAGTATCTATATCTGTCAGCCAGGCTGTTGTATCTATATCTGTCAGCCAGGCTGTTGTATCTATATCTGTCAGCCAGGCTCTTGTATCTATATCTGTCAGCCAGGCTGTAGTATCTATATCTGTCAGCCAGGCTGTTGTATCTATATCTGTCAGCCAGGCTGTAGTATCTATATCTCAGTCAGGCTGTAGTATCTATATCTGTCAGTCAGGCTCTTGTATCTATATCTGTCAGCTAGGCTGTTGTATCTATATCTGTCAGCCAGGCTGTAGTATCTATATCTGTCAGCCAGGCTGTTGTATCTATATCTGTCAGCCAGGCTGTAGTATCTATATCTGTCAGCAAGGCTGTAGTATCTATATCTGTCAGCAAGGCTGTAGTATCTATATCTGTCAGCCAGGCTGTAGTATCTATATCTGTCAGCCAGGCTGTAGTATCTATATCTGTCAGCCAGGCTGTTGTATCTATATCTGTCAGCCAGGCTGTTGTATCTATATCTGTCAGCCAGGCTGTAGTATCTATATCTGTCAGCCAGGCTGTAGTATCTATATCTGTCAGCCAGGCTGTAGTATCTATATCTGTCAGCCAGGCTGTAGTATCTATATCTGTCAGCAAGACTGTTGAATCTAAGTGTATTAATGTGTATATAATTATTTTTTTATACATGTAGGTTTCGTCCCACACATTGTTATTTAGTGCCAAAACTCGCCATTGTACCAAACGTCGTCATAATACCATAGTGTCTCTTTAGTACCAAAGGTCGTCATTTAGAGTACTACCAAACGTCTCTTTAATACCAAGCGTTGCAGCATTGCTAAAATCGTAGACATATGATACCAAGCTCAGCCTTTAATGTAGAGAGGTTTGCACTATTTGCAAACTCTTTGCACTCTTGCACTCTTGCACTTGCATATTTGCACTCTTTAATTTGGTTTAGTGTTAAAATGCTTTATTTTCTATTTGTATAAAGTAGTTCATCCTTTGCCTATCATGTTTTGTTAGTCGTTTGCCGGGTGTAGGGCATTGTTAGTGGCTTTCTGGGTTGGTGATACTATCTGAGCATTTCTGGGTTGGTGATACTATCTGAGCATTTCTGGGTTGAAGATACTATCTGAGGTTTTATGGGTTGAAGATACTATCTGAGCATTTCTGGGTTGAAGATACTATTTGAGAATTTCTGGTTTGAAGGCCAAGTCGGTGATTTTCTGGGTTTCAAGATTTTCCAAGTGGAAAATCTTGGGTTTTCCAAGAATTTTCCAAGTGGAAAATCTGGGTTGAAAATTTTCTCAGTGTTTTTCTGAGTCGAGTTGGGCCCACGTACCAGACAGATTTAATCTGGATTCACGTGTAAACAAATATTGTATCACTGTTGTAATATCGAACTACCGTTTACTGAAGATACTGTTAACAGGAGTCTCAAGATAATCAATAACACGAATCTATGAAGATACTGACATTGTATTGCAAGATAATGCTATGATGAGGAGGCAAGATATCTCACCTTTGTCAGCAAAGCTAAACTCTTATAGAAAGCTTATAGAAATGTGGCGTAAATGCTGGCGATATGTAGTGAATTCTGGAGAGTGTGGTAGTGGAGTAAAAAGGAGTTTATTGATGGTATGTGTGGCGTTGGAGGAATGGACTTAAACTGTGTCGTGTAAGCTCGAAGAAGCTTAAACCGCTATCTCCTACTAGTGTTCTCTGGGTCACGCTTAGTGTGTAGACAACACACACACACACACACACACACACACACACACACACACACACACACACACACACACACACACACACACACACACACACACACACACACACAAGTATCTTCAGGAATCTGTACACCTGTTGATTGACGGTTGAGAGGCGGGACCAAAGAGCCAAAGCTCAACCCTCGCAAACACAACTAGGTGAGTACACACACACACACACACACACACACACACACACACACACACACACACACACACACACACACACACACACACACACACACACACACAGTAGTTAACAGATGGAATGCATTAGGCAGTGATGTGGTGGAGGCTGACTCCATACACAGTTTCAAGTGTAGATATGA